TAAACATAATACATAAAGAAATACAAGATATAGATAATAAGGAATAGGTAAAAATCGGATTCTTATTTTTATATTTATATATGTATATATTTAATATACTAAGTATTATATAAATACATGATATGATATAAAAATGTGAAAAATTAAGATATTAAGAATGTTCAACATTCTATTAAAAGTAGTTAAGCGTTAGATGTTCAATTTTATAACGCTTCTCTTTCCTTTTTTCAAAGATATTCTTTTCAACATTAACGCCGCAATTCTTCATCCGGATGATTTTTCTCTTTTTAGAGACAGCATTGAATTCGGTAACAAGCAATTATGCATTTCGGAGGAATTGGATTCGCCGAACATGCGAGCAGAAGCGTATTTGAATTTGGCAAGGGCTCACGAGAGATTAGGCGCGCTGGATAGAGCGTTAGATTACGCTCGGCACAGGTTTGAATCTCTTTCATTCGTCATACAAGTTGTAATATGAATTTTTTGTAATAAATAATTTTGTAATATTCACTTTCGAGAAATCTAAACTAGATAAGTAATGTACGCGGTATTTCTATATTTCTATTGCTACTGTAATATAATTAGTAGTTGGTGATAGAACATCGATATATATATAATCGTAATGCATTTAATGTACTTTTGATTATAAGTTCAGTGACAGTTCTAAGTTTGAGGAGTTATAATCAATTCTTTGTAATCAATTGTTTAAGTGATAACTTTATTAATTTATGTGCGTGCGTGCGTGCGTGCGTGCGTGCGTGCGTGCGTGTGTTTTTATGTGTGTATTTATGTGTATATGGGTGTATGTTGCTAATATTTTGTGATTTTGCATTCTCGCAGCTTGTATAACGAGTGCGATCAGTGCGCGACTGCTGGATTAGTTCACTTAACCGTAGGCAGAGTTCATTTAGAACTAGCAGGGTTCTGTAAAGCCTTGGAAGCGTTTCAAAGAGCCCACAAAATCGCCCACTCCATTCAAGATCCCTCCTTAGAACTGCAGGTAATTAGGTACCTTTGTTCGCTAGTTTCTTTTTTTGCACGAGTACGTAAGCGCGCATTATAAGCCGTGATGTTTGTTAATTAACGGATGACGCAGGAGAGATTAGAAAAGCAGCAGCTGTGTAAGATAAGCCGACTCAATTTTTTTCTATCGCCTGATCTTTATTTCATTTGTCGAGTAGTCGATTAGTTGCATCCTTAATCTACTAGTATCATGCACTTGATGTTATTTGGATACTCAACCATATCAGTCTTCTTTGTAATGATTAATATTCCGAGAAATATCAAAATTTTTTATAAAATTCCTGATGTAATAAACCTGATGTGATAAAGCATTTTCTTTTTTTATTTGGAAAATTCTATCTTTATATTATTAACATCAAGATGATAAAAAAAAGGAAACATTGTTGTTAAATTTTGATTTTATAATCAAAAGGCACGTTGTGGTAATATTTTTTTTTTTAATAAAATATCCGATTCACATAGACAATTTTTTTTATTGATAATCTCTTAGTCTGCCTTTTTATAACGATAGCTATTCTGTCTATTCTGATTACATGTTATTTTTATTTCAGGTGTACGTCGGTTTGTCGGAACTCTTCTGCAGGTTACAGGATGCAGACAAGAGTGCGAGATACGCGGCGAGAGCTTACGATCTCTCCAGAAGTTTACAACTAGGAGATCTGAATTCTCGTCATCACAGGGCGGCGTTATTACAAATGGCCGCGGCGCTCAGGAAAAAAGGCGAGCTAGGCGACGCTCATGATTACTGCTCGGTAAAGTTGAAACTTAAAATTGCTGAGGAGAGAGAAAGAAAAAAATATTACATTATTCAGATCAAAGATACAGAAAAAGATCAGCGCAAGATTATGTTTCGAACGGGTTAAGTCGGAACGCCTCTCTGAAGATATCGCAAACTTTTTCGTGAACATTACTTTTTAAACTCGCGATTCTTTTCCATGAATCATGTAACAATTTATGTTTCGTTAAAAATACGAATATTTTTGAAGAAAATGTACCATGTGGGTCACCCGTGTGGGTAATATAGTTTAATCGAGAGTATTTCGTAGAGAGAATTATATTGGCTAATCGATATACCATAGTAATATGATCTAGCTGATGACATGAATCATCGTTTGTATGGACAGGAGGCAACGCGTCTGTCACTGGTTTCTGGCGACCAAGCGAGTTATGCTCGAAGTATCCGCATTATGGGAGACATTTACAGAAAGAAATCGGATATAAATGTGAGTAATTCACACAAGTTACCGGTGCAACTTTGTTTCTTTAGCTTTGACATGAGTTTTCCAACCATAATATCGCGAGTAATTATATCCTTACTTCATTTTTTTACTTATCAATATATATTTTATATAAATATACAATCTTCATGCATAAATTTATTCTAGAAGCAGTTACATTTGAGAATAAAATCCTTTCATTTTTACATATCACATTTATCTATACGTAAAGATTGAAACGTGTGATCGCGTGATAGAAAATAACGCCAATATATTTATTTGCATCAAAAACGTTTCTACAAATAGATTTTTTATCGGTATTCACGTCAAGTGTTACGATGATATCAAAACCAGTCACAACCTCATTGTTCGTTTCAACATTGTTACGGTTCTGTTATTAGCGATGAAAAAAATGCCATAACTAGAGCGTTTCTTTGCATGTCACGCATGTTACAAAAGCAATTTTAACACTGTATCACGCTTGCAACGCATACCGCTTTCGTTTTGTTTCGCTACAAAACCCTTTGAACGTTGTTAAAAAGTGAATGACAAAAATTTGATAAAACGTTCACTTTGAAACAAGGTGGAATATTGAAAGTGTGATATTTGCACGATTATTAAATTAAATTTCTAAAATACTCTTGTAAAAGGAGTGTACATAAAAAATATCATATTTTAATGTTTTAAATTCGCAAATATTAGAAGACATATATTTTTATTTAAACAAATTGATATAAATTACGAATATTTGATTTAAGTTTTAGCAAATTTAATGTAAACAAATTTATACAATAATTATTACTGATATAATTATATAGTAGTAATGACAGAATATATGAAAATTATATATGAAAATTAGAAATCAGAGAAAAGCAATCACAATTAGTAACTCTGAAATTACATATTTTAATATCACGTATTTGATTATAAATTTTAGCTAAATATAGATCTTAAGGAATCAGAAAATACCTAATTATTTATAATTTATAAAAATATCATGTTATTTATTAAATACAATTTACTAAAGCATTATTACATATTAAACTTTTGTTTATCCCAGTAAATAATATAATTTAATATATATATATATAATTCATTATATGATTCATTATATGATTATGGTTAAATACAACGCATATACAATGAATACTTATTTTTATCTTTAGATATGATTTAATTAATAAAACATTTCAACATTACTATATTTTAACATTATTTATGTTGACATCTAACACATCGTGATATTTCATCATAGAATTTAATATTGATATTTTATGATATGTTCCAATATTAATTATGCATATGTAATGTACAAATAAATATTTCTTATAAAAGCAGAAATAATTTTTCAAAAAAAAATATAATTGCATATCATATTAATATATTTGTATAATAATCTCTCTTGTTATTACTAAGAGAGCCCTTGAAGTAGCACTTTATCATTTGTTCTATCACCTTCTGTTCTGTCACTTTTATCACTTGTTATATCATCATGTCTAAGCGCGCGAAATGTCAGCTCTATGATTAGTCAACTTTAATTATCGCTAATAATTTAAAAACTATTATAACCTTGACATTTTCGTATTAGAATTTTCGTCTTATTTTTAACTCAAGAATATGTCATAAAAATTTCGATCGCGAATTGCGGGACACCCATATATAAGGGTGATTCAGAACAACCGTTTGTCCTTAAAATGTCATATTCCTGAGTTGATTCTAAGATGATTTTTTTCTCTATCAAATTTTTATCAGAAGCTTAGTTTTTGAATTATAACGGAAAACAATTCGCAAATTACGGACCGCATATAGAAGATAGGCAGGAGTGATGCAACTCATTATCCGACACGAGCGATTACACTCGATGCAATCAGCAGATAGCTACACGTACGAGTATTGATACATGCATGTCTTGCATCTTACCACACACATACACGCACACGCACATGCAATCCACCCGCATCGGACAGTGAGTTGCACCGTCCCTGCCTATCTTCTGTACGCGGCCCGTAATTCGCGACCTGTTCTCCCTTATAATTTAAAAACTAAGCTTCTGATAAAAATTTGGTAGAGGAAAAATTAGAATCATCTCAGGAATACGATATTTTAAGAAGAAACGGTTGTTTCGAATCATCCTGTATACATATAAAATGATTTATTATCAAGAACATTGATGGGGATATTTGTTTCATTTGCTGCTTGTGCGAATGGTTGTGCTTTCTGCGATAGAAATCGCCTGTTGAATTTACTCTGTCTTTAGTTGGCGATCGCGATGCATATACAATTAGCCTTTAGTTTACGTATCGCGTACGCCGGTCCGATTGTCAGAACGATAACATCGGTGAGATAAAGATGGACGTATTGCAGAAAGCATTTCGACAATACGAAAGCGCAATGGGCTCAGCGGCCGCGACCGGCGATCGGCTATGCCAGATGGAAGCGATGGACGGCGCGGCGAGATGCTTAGAAGCTCTCAGGCTTCAGCACAAGATATGCAACTGCAGACCCCTCGAGTTCAATACTAGGCTCCTGGAAGTGGCGGGATCGGTTGGCGCCAAGGTAAACTGCCAATACAGATTGTAGATTGATGATGCACGTCGTTCGTTCCATTTCATAGAAAGACAGTTGAGAGTAGAGAGGAGAGAAAAGAGAGAGAGAGAGAGAGAGAGAGAGAGAGAGAAGAGAGAGAGGAGAGAGAGAGAGAGAGGAAAGCGATGTACTATGAAATCAATTTCCTCCCTTCTGTCAGACATGAAAACTTAAAAGTTTCTCCCCTTTCCTTTATTTTCTTTAGGGATCAATGGAATTCAAAATACATGCAGTAAACGCACGGCGTAAACTAAGCCAATATTTACAAAGAGTTGAACGTATTGAAGGAAAGTTGATTTCATTGATTCTAGAAATTGACTTAGGTTTAACATGAGATACATAAACTTATTGTTAGTTAATTTTTGTCGCATAAGTTTATTTTAATAAACAGAATTCCATATTCCATATTTTAGAAATTTAATCGAAAATAGCTTTAACGTCTTTAAAGATAAGTTATTATCGGTACCGCTAAGATCGTAAATTATTTAAAATATGATTTAAATCAGCAAATTTTAAATACAAGAATGTGTCAATAACAGAGAAAGTTTTTTGTCTGAGGCAAAAATATGCGCTGCATTGTTTATGCGTTTATATAACTACCACATGTCTAATAATTATCATGAGTTCCGATGAAATACCAAAAGAGCTATCGGCACTACAATGCCGCTGTAACGCTGCACAAATATTCCATGCATATATTACATATCTACACACACACACACACACACACACACACACACACACACACACACACACACACACACACACATCCCCCCCCACCACACACACAATGCGCACCGAATCCTCGCGCTATTTGTGTCTACGAATCAATGGTCCTCCATTTTGACGCTCTCTCCGTATAAGCGCACACGCAACCGTAACGTAAAATATGCAGCTTCATCGATGCTGTTCAACAGAGCTCAATAAAGATTATTATTAGTCCGTGAATTAAGTCGATAAAATACTTCGCGCTATTTATAGTTAATTAACGTATCTTTTCTGTATACAATGAACCACAGGCTATTAACCGAAGAATATTTATAAAATCTTAAATTCTGCTCAAAAAGAGAAAAGAAATATAGATATCTGTAATAATACTCTAACATTTTTAAAAATATCAATAAAATATATATACTTTTAAGTATATCATTCTAATATCACTTTTATACAATTTTCTATGAGGAAAAAAACCATGTATTCAGAATAAGACAATCTATTTACAGCTTTTGGTGCGGACAGTCAGATCCAGATTGTCGAGAATTTACGGCTCTTTGGGAGACGAAGAACAAAAAGGACATTACGAGAGATTAGCAATTGCGATGGAAGAAGATTTGGAGTTACGATGCGGAAGTTGTAACGAACCTTTCGGTTTGGAAGCTGATTCTCTGGAAGCATTACCTTGTTCTCACATATTACACGCTCGGTAAGATTTGTGGAAAAATTTCCGGACTACTTTTCTGTTAAGAAACAGATGAGTTAAAGCAAATTGAAATCAAGTATAACATCGAGTAAAATCATAATTGCTAATTCCTGTAAAAGAAATATTTCTCCTGTCCTTATTTTCTCGTGCAACATTGGCAGATGCGCATATGACATCTTAAAGAGACGCGACAAAAAGAAGAAACGTTTGTGTCCTGACTGTCACAAGTCTGTCAGTTCACGGCTGTACCTGCATTGCGAAGATCCTCACGGCATGAATACTTTAAATCATAGTTCCTTGAGCCTGGCGTCACTGAGAGCCAGCAGCCTAGCCACACTTGAGGACTGTCATGCGACGAGTAGCGTTTAAAAAAACACGACGGATTTCATTTATTTTAACGCGTTGGATTAATTCGCATGCGATTATAGATAATTTTAAGAAACCATAATGTGGAAGATAAGAATGCCAACGGAAAGTAGTACGATATAAAAAGATTTAATGGCAATAAAAAATGCACGCCTCAATTCAGATGTGTTGTATATTGTTACCTCTCTTTTCCAATAAATCCGCATGATTTTATTTTAAAACTAAAGATCTAAACATTTGACATTCTGCATTAAAATTTATACAGTTTCTCTTACTCGATGATTGTAAGCATATAACATGGCATATTGCTTTTCAATTACTGATTTATATTATAAATTTCGAATTTGTTTAAATCGCATTGTTTATATTTTAGAGTATTTAAAACGTTCACGTTTTTGACCCAAATAAACTATTTACGATTTTCGGAATAATTAATAATATTTAATAAAAGAATTATCAATCCTTTGTATCAAATACGTGAGCGTTATATATATAATATGCAGCAAACAAGCATATATATATATATATAATATGCTTGTTTTTATGTTTGTGTACTGATTATTTATTAGCTGTGATCGATGATATATTGTGCGTTCGATCTTATACAATATTAATTATAAAGAATCTAAATAAAAAATCTACTCTACTCACAGTTTATAAAAACTAAACATTCAATCGTTGTGTTTTTGAATGCATTTGATAAGATAAAAATATAAAAAGATAAAAAGATAAAAAACATTTTTATAATAATGTTAATAATAAAAATAATCAAATAATAAAATAACTTTATTATATATTGTAGTTGTTATTAATGAGTGTAATTAATGAGTGTACATAAAATAACAAGTTAAAAATACACAATAAAGTAAAAATTAAAAACATTCAATAAATAAACCTACAGCTGGTATACCAATTTAATACTAATTTCATATCTTACTTAAATATAATATACAATATAAAAAATAAGTAAATAAAATAATTTCTAATATATAAATTGCAAAATAAGATTAAGTATTAATTAAATATTATTATAAATGTTATTTAAACGATTATTACTTATGTGATATAAATATATATTTTGATACAAATGTATACTTTGTATTATTTAAAATAAGAAAAGTGCATGAAGAAAAAGCTGCATCACATATTACGATTCCTAAGGGTAATATTACACTTGTCGATAAATGTAATATTACCCTAACGTGCGAAGTTGATCGCGCGACTTTCGAATTCTCTTACTGTGCGAGAATCAACTGTGCGTTAAATTTGTGAGGCATCACGGCAGTGGAATCATGCTCTTGCACGACCATACTTTACTGACATTAATCTTCCATCTTGACGTAATAAAGAGCGGAACTAAGGCTGATAGCAGAAAACGAGATGTAAGCGCTTACGTTTACTGTTCTCTATCATCAACCTAACATCAAGAATATCATACAAAAATACCGATTATATGTTCAAATGATTAGCATGAACGATTGTAATTAATCGAATTTCACGAATAATTGTGAATATGTGAGTATCATGAAAAGTAATTTTAAAGGAACAAAGAAAAAAGAAGGAGAAAGAGAATAGAAAAAATGGTAACGTTCGGTATATTAACATCTTTAAAAGAAATGAAATGGTCAAAGGGCTGTCAATCATCAGATAAATACAGTTCATATTAAAATGGAGAAAGCGCTCGCAGGCAAAAACTAAGCGCACTGGTTCTGAATTCGACACTTGCAATCAAAACGAAACCACAGCTTGCTCAAGACTGAAACTCATGATGCAAAAATTCAGTATTAGACTGTGAATTTAGGCTGTTACTTTGTTTTTTAATAAAAAGCATCTCTGAAATCAATCATTTTTGTAAATTTCGCTCACCGTCTAATACTTTCACATCATTCCAATCAAATTCGTGGTCGTAATCTAATCTGTGCTCGGTAATCACTAAATGTGTTTTTGTGTATGTTTCTGCGTATATGATTTTTGTGTTCATGCAGACTCGTTTTTAATTGTCTCAGTAGTTTATCCGACATCGCACGCATCGCAATTATTAACAAATCTTGTACACTACATTCTTTTTGGAGTGTGCTGATGAAGCGTCCTTATGAACTCTGATCATGCCTCTTAACTTATTGCTAAAAAATGCGAGTTTAACATCGAAATTATCAACAATTTTTTTGAATTTAGTCGCAATTCCCAAACAAAAGGTAAAGTGAACTATTTTGTTTCTTATGATTTCATTGTTGTATTTGGCATGCTTAATCTATCATCTTGTTTAAATCGTTTAAAAAGATTAATTTTTAATCTCGAATGAATATTTATCAAAAATAAAGTTGAGAGGGTATTTTTCCTCCTATTCACCTATCACCTATTGTAGACTGGAACGTAAAGCTGGGTGCACAATGAAAAACACAGGCAACAGTAACAGGGAATAGCAACAGGCAACAGATTTCGACCAATTAGAAGCTGTGAAGAATATCGAAGATATTTCTGATTGGTCAAAATCTGTTGCCTGTTCCCTATTTCCTGTTCCTGTTGCTTGTGTTTTTTATTGTGCATTCAGCTTAAATCGAAACCATGTGTCAGTATGTGCATACATAAGTCGCTTGTCTTCTAAACAAATTGCTTTATTTAAATTTATAACGGAGAAATATTACTGGCGGGTTTATTCATTTCATATATGAAGATGACATCATCCCTCGCTTTATCGCCACAAGCTGCTAGATATACATTTAATTTTTTTAAATCTAACGGTAAGTATAAGCAAGATATTTATTTATGTTGCCTGTTATTTTTTGAAGTTACATGTATGCATCTGTTGTATAGGATCATCTGGTTCAGCAACTATCTCATGGGATCATTTCTTCAATTCTTTAAACCAATACTATTACAATTTAAGACAGGAATTACTTCCTAGTCAGGATACAGGCAAAGATGTCATCCGAAGGGAATTATGTCTCAGGAAGTTAAAGGCCTCGAGGCAGTGTTGTTGATTATTCAAGTAATAGCCAAAAATGATGAAATCAAGAGTTGCGACATGCGATCATTCGAGTTGGAAAGTCTTGTAATCTTTGATCGGCTTGATGATCTGTACCATTCAAAGGTATGCTGATAAGGATTCTTGCGGCATTGACCAGATTACCGGAGAGTTCTTCCATCATTTGGCAAAGTTTGGAGGCTGTTCAATTTCTCTCTATACCAACAACAAGTAGTTATCAATCAAAAGGCGTACAAACAGAATTAGAAGAGATCGAATCTAGGAATGAGGAATATTTGTTAACGCTTGCTGTATTAGAGCTATTAGGTGTTCTTGCCGATTTCCCAATACTACGTTGGGTGTCAGTCAACGAAATCCAGGATTCGATCCATTATTTACATTTTATTATCATACGATTTTCCTGAGATTTCATACTCGTTCGTACAAAAATCATGCTGAGAAGTGGGAGGTGGCGGAAGCCTGTTTGAAAATATTTTTGAAATTAATAAACCGATCGCCGAAGATTTCGTGGGCTATAAATTTGACTTTTGCAAGGCGGTGAATCTACCTCAATCAATGCAACTCCGGGATATTATATAATGACGCAATTGTACACTAATTCTGAACTACTACATAATATTATATATCATAGACGAAGATTGCCATCACTTGGATACCTATGACAGTTTTCCAGTAAAAAAATATCTCGAAAGTTATACAGCTTATATTGCTTGGAAATATTGAAGCGCGGCTTAAAAATACAAGATAATTATATGGCACAGTTGTCTTCCATACCGTTCAGAAACAAAATGACTGGATTGTCGCGACTGTTACTCGACAAACCGGATCACATGATAAATATTAAATATGTGAAATATAATTTGTACTACTGAAGCAAGCCTTTGTGGCAGTTGACGTTATCCACGGCGTGACTGGAGTAGACTCAGAATTATTGTCGACATTCACGGAAATTCCTACTTTAGCGACGAATGTCAGACATCTCAGGCTTTGTCGAGTGCGTAGACGCGGAATAGGAGGACTCTCGGAGGATGACGACAAACCACAGAGTGGACAAACCGATTGGAAATTGCAAAGAAAGAATTTTATTACTGATGATGCATAGTATCACGCGGCCTGAGCCCAATCTTGCGCATTACTTACTTGGCTTTGAAATAATTAAAGACATCAGGAAAATCGTCATCGAACAAAGATCAGGAATCCTCGGATTTCCACGTATCTGTCTGCACTCCATCTTAGGCATATTGGAACAATCTCTCGAACGCGAATGCGACAAAATAACCGAAGCCTGTTACTGCTGTACATTAACGGCTAACAGCAAAACATCAGCACCGTTTTTAGATTTTTACGTACTACGAGTAATCAGGACTTCGTGCAGAGACATCTCTCGAAATTATCGTTTCAGGGCCCAAATAAATCCACTGAGCTTAGTTGCATGTCTCTTGGCTATTGCAAATAGCGGCTATCGAGTCGTCAATGGTAGCAGACATCTCCTGCAGACTTCTTTAATTCAATGATTGGTGAGAAGTTTTAATCAGGACAAGGACAAGACTTGTACTTTCCCAGAAGCTTCTGATGGATCTTTTGCATTGATTTTACATTGATTTGTGTATTTGTTGTATTTGGAACCCACGAAGTCGTGGAAATTCTTCGATCCATCACAGATTGAAATGATACTGGGTAAATGCAGCATTCCTGCCGCATGGGCCGTGGCTCATTGATTATCAGGAAACTGCATTCTCTCATCACCGAGGAATTGACGGTTACAGAGCAGTGCTACTGCCACTGAATGCAAACTCATGCAGCAGAAAGTAAAGTCTATACTCGCGCATGCAAAGAAAAAGAAAAGAAATCAGATCAAGGTTCTGTCATATGCGACTATTAAATTCGTGGAGGACTGGTGCCAAACTACGAAAATATTTTTCTCTGTCGCGACAAATCAACAGTTATCGGTAGCTCAATGGCAAAACTTTCTGCTGAATTTGTCGCACGACCTGCCATAGAAGATGACATCCTGCGAAGCTTTGAGCGAAATTAAGACATTAGTATCCGACACGGTCTTAATGCTGCTGGTAAACTTGCGAAACAGCTTCATGATTCAATCGGATAACGAATTACCATCATCACCATCGTCGAATACAATGATGGAAATTATTCTTAGCCATATTTTACAATGGAT